AGGAACCCCAGTAACAGGTGATCTATTTGAGGCCGGTTAGGTCGTCCTCTGTTTTATCTCATCATACTGTATTATTGTAATAATTTGGAAAACTATTGTAACGCAGGAATCTCTGTTGTGGTGATTATGTACTGAGTATTTTGGATACAATTTCTTTCCAGGAAACAGAATTATAGTGTGTTGGTGCACAACATTTCATTTGAAACTTTTCGTGATTTCATTTTCATCATTCATCCATTCACTCCATTCTTGGAAGATGCCGTCCTCGTCTTCTCCAAACCGATCGATGCATGGCGTCGCTTGTTGTCGGTCGGGCGGTGGCCTGCGTCGGCATTCGGTCAGGGCCATAGTCGTTGCTCTATTACCAGTATTTTCCGTTGCTGCTCCTGCTTTCATAGTCGTATCCCCATCATCCCCATTTAGCAGTTGTTTGAAGATTGCCGTCAAAGAGATGGTGGTAAATTTTGGACTCTTTTTTTTGGGTGGTTCCATATGTCTAAAGTTTACTTAACAACATTGTTATAACTGGAACTGGATGATTTTTATTTTGATGCTCAATTTCTGTTCAAACAATTTTGGAGCTTTATATCTGTTTTGGAAAATCGCCGGTTCAAATAGCATAGTTCCTTCCTAATGATGTTCCTCCTAATTTCTTAAGCTCAATCGGATTTATCACTTATTTGGTAATGATTGATTATATGCCATTTATTGCAAGAGTTTTTTAGTTTTCAGTTTGAATGATGAGGCATTGATATTGCTACACATGTAAGTAAACTCTCGAGTAAACTACAAAATTTACAAAGCGTCGAATCAAGATGCAACTGATGAAATGTTGATGTCAAAAATATTAGGTAAGTACCTACTCTACCAGATACCTACGTTAAAACAACTTAGTAGTCAACTACAAAAAATTACTTTAAAAACAATGAAAAAGAAAAATTTTCAGTGTTCAATTCAAATGCAAGAAAAAATTGTTATATTTGCAAAAAATCTGGACATTTGCAGAAATCATTGCAGAAATAAGGATAAAAACCATCATGAACATGATAAAAACTAGAGAAATAAGAACCGAATGGACAATCATCAGTCAAAACAAGAGAAAAAAAGATGTTCAATATGCAAAAAGATCAACCTTACTGAAATCCACTGTTTCTTCAAAAATAAGAACAGAAATGAAAATAAAAACTCTGATAACAGTCTCATTTTTGACAGAAAATAAAAACTATGAGGAATATAGGTACATATAGTAATGATATGTTTGTAATAGATTCCAGAAGTAGGTACCTTGCATGCATATGGTGAATGATCCTGCATTATTTGATTATTTAATAGAAAAGCAGACTGACATAATGTGTTGCTAAAAAGGTGCTTAGATTACAACTGAAGGTTTAGGAGGGACAATTGAAGCAGAAAACTGCATATTAAATGAGGTTTTGTTCCAGAACTTAGCAAACATTTGTTATCAAAGTGCCATTACTAAAAATGATGGTCGAGTAATATTTGATCATGACAAAGTTTATGTAGATAATAAAAAATGACAAAAAGAATCTAGGACCTCGAAATGGTTACAAGAATGGATATAGATGAAAAGTATACTGCACGTGATTTATTTGAAATACCATGTGAAGTATGTTTAAAAGGAAAACAAACAAGATCTTCTTTCAATAGTGAAACAAAAACAAAAGAGAGACCTTTAGAACTCATACATACAGATTTATGTGGATCAAACAATTCACAAACATGGGATAATAAGAAGTATATGTTAACAATAATGGATGACTAGATTTACTTATTATGTGGTGATTTATTTGCTAGAATATAGAAGTGAGACCGTGAGACGACAAAGTATGTGAAAGAATACATTGAACAAATGGAGAGAGAGAAAAATACAAAAGTGGCAAAAATAAGAAATGCCAATAGCAAAGAATATGTAAACGAAGATTTACAGAGATATTGTGAAGAAAAAGGAATAGTAATGGATTTGACAATACCCCAACTTAACGGAAAAGCCGAAAGACAATAGAACCCTATAATAGAGAAAGTAAGATCTTTATTATTTGATTCAAACATGGACAAAATATTTTGGGGAAAGACGGCCAGAGTTACTGCTTATATAGAAGTCCTGCAGAATCTCTACAGCTAGATAAAACTCCTTTTGAAATGATATAAAAAGGTGCAAATTTTTGGAATTGAAGCATAGGTACTCAAAAAATCCAGGATACCTACCTAAAAAAATTAGATAGCCAATGTAAAAAATATTTATTTGTTGAATATGCATCAACAGGCTACAGTTTAAGGGATGAAAAGAACGAAAAAATTATAGTAAGAAGAGAATATATATATTTGAAAACCCTAAAAAATGACAATAAAAACTTTGAAATTAACATTAAAGTAGACACAGATGGAAATTTACCAGAAAATCAAGAAAAAGAGCAAAATATAATATCAGAAAATGAAGAATTAAGACAAGAACAAGAAACAGATAATGAAATTTAGCATAAAAACCAAACAGAGAAACAAAAAAACAACACGAAAATGAAATAGAATATAATATACAAAAATGTGATGAAGATTTAAACTTGAGACAAGGCACGAAAACGATGAGACGAGGAACACATACTTAGAAGATTACATTCTACTAACATATTATGAGGAACGAACTGAAAGCGAAAAGTCACTGAAAATAGTTAAACATACTTCAGAAAGCGTTGAATGTAGGTATTTCAGAATAGTTAAATGCTCTTAAGTATTAAGCTCTTGTTGGGTCAATCGGGCTTAAATAGGAAAAACTGAACAGACATGGGTAATTTATTATGTCGCCTCCCTCCTGGATTGTTTCAGCCGAATTTTTACTTTTGGCTTATCTGGAATACATTTTTAACGCTTTCTGAAATATATTTAACTATTTTGAAATATATATTCAACGCTTTCCCAAATACATTTAACTATTCTGAAATACATTTAACGCCTTCTTAAATACATTTGACACTTTTTGAAATATATTTGACACTTTTTGAAATACAATAGGGCATGTACACGATCTGACAGTTTGACACTATTGACAGTCGCCTTGAGGTAAAACAAAGATAATTTACAGTGGTTTTTAGTTAGATTTTTTTAAATAAATACCTTTTGTGTGATCCAGAAGTTTCTGGGACATGCCTAGAGTTTGTTTAGTTGTTAATTGTGGCAGTATAGCGCAAAGGATACAATATCCTTCCATAGGTTTCCATCAATTTTAAATAACAATGGGAGGTTTGATTTGTTAGCTCAAGAAAGAAGAGAAAAATTGATTAATGTTCCTAAAAGAGAAGATCAGACAGAAAAATAGATTGAATATAGAGTAACTATACCTATATATTCTTGTGACACTTGGTTTTGATATTTGTTGGAAAAAACCTGAATTTAATCCATTATAGAATAACCTAGCAAACTTCTGGATAAAAGACCACATAGACTGGAACATAATAAACATTTTACTCAAATTTTTTTAAAACAAAATAACACAAAAACTTGTAAGAAAGCTGTGAAAACCGCATAAAACATAACCGGCCTAATCTAAACGAATGTAAATAAATGATTGGTTTTACCTCAGGGCGACTTTCAAACTCATTTGTGACGTCACATGGACATGCCCTATTAGGCATTCCAACGACCTGTCAAAAAGTGTGTTGTGGCGGAAGTTCATTATCCCGTATATGAGAGTATGTAATTTAAAGCTTTTTAAAGTGCATTTTGTGGTTGTTTTGTGAATGAACTCTGTTTATTTTTTTATTTTATTGACTTCATTAGTGTTTCTTCCAATTAAAAATGCCACAAACGGGTCTTGAAGTTGATTGTGAAAGTAGATTCAACAAGGTAACAAGGATGATGTCAGGCTTTTTTCATTGCCCTTTGTTTTAAAATTTTCCAATTAAAACGTGAAAATTTTTCACTACCACTGCATCTGAAATAAAGCCATTTTCGAAATATTCGTAAGAATCCAAGGTTTTGTAGGCCCTCATTTGCTCATTAATGTGAACTGTGGATCAAAATGTAATCTGGACATTTTTTCAAACTGATCGTTCGCCCAGATCTCGATTTTCCTGCATTCAAGTCTTTAAATATTCACTCTGCATCTCAAAAAGTATATTATAACAAAGTAAACTGTAATTAGCTTGAAAATATTCCAAATAAACTCAAGATAAACAAACAAACGTCAAATTTTCCACGGTCGCCATATTGAAAAATAACGTGGTTTGGAGATCCTAATATTATTTTCCTCACACCATCAATCACCCTGTATACCATGAAATCTGCGCAGAATCAAAATCTGCAATCACATACAAAATGTCTCGTTTATTACAATAAGCAAGTTGACGTCTACTACCGATATAACTGGAAGGGAAGTGCCACCATCTTGAAAATATTTAAGCCGGGTTGGCCCCATATTGACATTTGTAAACTGTCAAATTTTCAAAAATTTTCTGCATAGAATTTTTCATATTATAGATCAATTTGGTTCCCGGTGGAACACCTTGTATAAGAGACAAAATAGTTACTTAGATATTGTAAAAAAATAATATACCTACTAATATTTGAAATTAATTAGAGCCAATAATGAAAGAGCTTATAAATTATTTATTTTTTCAAAAGCAAAAAACTGAACATTATCCTAATAAAAGTCAGCAGGAAGCTCAAAACTTCATTGTTGAAGACACGGCTCATTTATTTTACAAAAAGACATTTTTCCTGACATTCCTTTGTAAGAGGAATAGTCGGTAAACGTTTTTCGATTAATTAAAGCGGCCTTAGACTACGATTCATTAGGCTTATATTTTTCACATTTTTACACTAAATGTTACTTTAAGGCGCTTCTAGAAAAGTTTTCACAAATAAATAAATACCTATTTGTTTAATAGACAAACAAAAAAAGATGAAGACAAGCTTGGTTATTGTAGTTATTAATCAATATGGAAATACGATTTTGTCGACTAAAATAGCGTAAAATATCAACTAACCTGTTACCGGAGCCTCGATGTCGATCATGGTCTTCTCGGCGCGCAGCAACTGCGCACCATCGTTGATGATGCGCAGCGCTGCGGCCTCATCGATGCGGCCCTCGAGCACGAAATGCTGCTTCAGCACTTCCGGTTTCGGTTTGGCCGTCTTCGGGTCGAAAACTTCTGCGACTGTCAACTTATGGCTTGGCGGAAAGGGTACGGCTTGAACGAAAATAAAGAGAACTAATTAAAATCTAATTGTTAATTGTCTTTGATTTGTTCTATATCTATAAGATTTATAAATATTGTACAGGGTGGCGCGTTTATTTTAGCTCGGTATATGGAAATCTAGATATTTTATATATGACAAAAAGTTAAATACAAAAGTTGTGAATTTAAATCAGCAATTTGTTTTTTTGTATTTGAGCATACAGGATGATTTACGTAGCCCGTGCATCAGTTTGTAGGTGGATTAGATGCTATCTTTATTAATCCACCTGCAATCCAATTGAATTCTAATGCGCGGGCTACGACAATCACGGTGTATACAGGAGGTGTCAAAAAAGTGTGACACATATGTATATTTTTATATTTCCTAATTGCGCTTTTAAAAACAAATATAAATATATTTTCCTACATAATATACAGGGTGATTTACGTAGCCCGTGCATCAGCTTGAAGGTGGATTAGATGCTATCTCTATTAATCCACCTGCAGTCCAATTGAATTGTAATGCACACAGTTTCGGATTTATTTACGGTTATCTTCGGGGAACGGCCAATTTTTAGATAATTGTAGAAACGTTAAAAAAATTGAAGATATATTTGCCGGACAGATTCTGATTTCGGAAAGACATTCCGGCTATGTGGGGCCAACCTAATACTGTTTGCGCTTGGTACTAGTAGTGTAAGTACATGCTTGGAAATTATTTGGCAATTTTTTCCAAATAGGTACTTTTACTGATTCCAAATCTATTTCAGTATCAAGTTTAATGAATTAAAATGAGAAATGAGATAAGAAATAAGATACAATAAGAAATTTATTAATATTATATATACCTATGTACAGCCGTGAGCATAAAAAGTGGGACACCCGACTAACAGAGGTCTTGTCATTAATCGCTATTTTGGGTGAATCAGTCTTTTCTCTACAAATGGATTTTTTGTCAAATATGACAATCCCTGTTATTGCCGTAGGTATAGCTGATGAGCTCGTTTTACAATAGGAAAAAACAAGTGTCCCACTTTTTATGCTAACGACTGTACATCGATAATAAATTAATAACAATAATAATAGATATCCAATAGTAGTAGTTGTAGTAAAGGCAGTGTATATTGTGTATAACATGCGATAGGTACCTAGTTATTAGGCAATGTATAATCCAAATCTCAACATTCAACATTCCGATACCTAAGTAAAATCTGTTTTTTAAAGATAATTCCCCAAGTCAAAAATTTAGTAACTATATTGGCAATACAAGCCTTTTCTACATAAAAAATTTGAAAGCATTGACAATTTTACATTGTATTGCCAACATAATGTCATTTTGACTTTTATCTTTAAAAAAAAACAGGCTTTACCTACTTTTTATATTGTAATTTCCTTATCACCAAGTCAAATAAAGAATATTTAGTTTTAAACCTTGAAATAAATACTTCCATATTTAAAATATTGAATATATTTTTCTTAAATCCTAAAACTATTATAGTATTAATAATTGGCCCAAAAATCAAGAGCGTATCCAGGGGGGGGGGCAGACTTTAAAAAAAAAATCTATCAGTCAATGAAATGCATATAGATTATCAATTTGTAAAAAAAAATAATGTAAATTTAATCAATTTAGTGTAGTGATAAATGTTTAATATTACATATTACTCAATATTATTAGGTTTGTTTCTGCAGAAATCACAAATCAGTCAGAGTGAATTTCATTGGTTAAAACTAGTTTTCTGACTGTTTTCGACCAATGAAATTCGCTCTAACTGGTTTGTGATTTCTGCAGAAACAGACCTATTATTATAACATATGTACAGTTTTAAAAACAATGACACCCTCGTATTGCTTGCTCAACTATTACTACTTGTCTGGGTAACCTGTAATTCTTATCTCTTCGATTTAACGACCCTATATTTATTTTGATTTGTGATTTTATGAAAAGAAATATAAGATCTTGAAGCCGCAGAGATAAGAATGACAGGTACCCAGCAACCCAGTCAAGTAGTGATAGTTAAGCACCAGTGTGAAGTTAGCAGCCTTTTTGCAGCAGCCAAAAATGTGAAGTTAGCAGCCATTTGTAGCAGCCAAAATTGTGAAGTTAGCAGCCATTTTTTGGCAGCTCTTTTTTTTTTTAAATGGTTGATTTACAAATTTTGTGTACATTATTATTATATACCCTCGGGCAAAGTACAACAGAAAAACAAAACAAAAAACTACCCCTAATAAAACATCAAGTAGAACATTAATATCTACAAAACAACTTTTCTAAAATAAAATATAACACCCTGAAATTTAGAATAGTCTTTAACATAGCCCTCAAGTACGTCTAGTTCGAAGAACAACCCCTTATTGCCGTCAGGCTGGGATCAACCCTTATTATTAAAATAATTGGAAATGCTCATTTCGGGAGAGTGTAACACCATCAAACTCAGTGGGACGATCATCAGAACCATTTCTAACATTCCCACCAAAGGACAACCCCTTACCTGCCGTCGGAGTGTGTTGAAAACTACCCTTAGTAAGAAAATGATAGAAAACATTTTTTTTCTATTATTTTCATGCTAAGGGTAGTTTTTAACACACTCTGACGGCAGGTAAGGGGTTGTCCTTTGGTGGGAATGTTCGAAATGGTTCTAGTTATCGTCCCAATCAAGTTTCAGAGCGTTACAGTTTCTCGCAATGTGTTTTTCCAATTTTTTTCTATTATTTTCGTACTAAGGGTAGTTTTTAAGACACTCCGACGGCAGGTAAGGGGTTGTCCTTTGGTGGGAATGTTCGAAATGGTTCTAGTTATCGTCCCAATCAAGTTTCAGAGCGTTACAGTTTCTCGCAATGTGTTTTTCCAATTTTTTTCTATTATTTTCGTACTAAGGGTAGTTTTTAAGACACTCCGACGGCAGGTAAGGGGTTGTCCTTTGGTGGGAATGTTCGAAATGGTTCTAGTTATCGTCCCAATCAAGTTTCAGAGCGTTATAGTTTCTCGCAATGTGTTTTTCCAATTTTTTTCTATTATTTTCGTACTAAGGGTAGTTTTTAAGACACTCTGACGGCAGGTAAGGGGTTGTCCTTTGGTGGGAATGTTCGAAATGGTTCTAGTTATCGTCCCAATTAAGTTTCAGAGCGTTACAGTTTCTCGCAATGTGTTTTTCCAATTTTTTTCTATTATTTTCGTACTAAGGGTAGTTTTTAAGACACTCTGACGGCAGGTAAGGGGTTGTCCTTTGGTGGGAATGTTCGAAATGGTTCTAGTTATCGTCCCAATCAAGTTTCAGAGCGTTACAGTTTCTCGCAATGTGTTTTTCCAATTTTTTTCTATTATTTTCGTACTAAGGGTAGTTTTTAAGACACTCTGACGGCAGGTAAGGGGTTGTCCTTTGGTGGGAATGTTCGAAATGGTTCTAGTTATCGTCCCAATCAAGTTTCAGAGCGTTACAGTTTCTCGCAATGTGTTTTTCCAATTTTTTTCTATTATTTTCGTACTAAGGGTAGTTTTTAAGACACTCTGACGGCAGGTAAGGGGTTGTCCTTTGGTGGGAATGTTCGAAATGGTTCTAGTTATCGTCCCAATCAAGTTTCAGAGCGTTACAGTTTCTCGCAATGTGTTTTTCCAATTTTTTTCTATTATTTTCGTACTAAGGGTAGTTTTTAAGACACTCCGACGGCAGGTAAGGGGTTGTCCTTTGGTGGGAATGTTCGAAATGGTTCTAGTTATCGTCCCAATCAAGTTTCAGAGCGTTACAGTTTTCCGAAAAAAAATTTTTATATTATTTTCACACTAAGGGTAGTTTTTGACACACTCCGACGGCAGGTAAGGGGTTGTCCTTTGGTGGGAATGTTAGAAATGGTTCTGATGATCGTCCCACTGAGTTTGATGGTGTTACATTTTTCCGAAATGTGCTTTTCCAATTATTTTAATAATAAGGGTTGATCCCAGCCTGACGGCAATAAGGGGTTGTTCTTCGAACTAGACGTACTTGAGGGCTATGTTAAAGACTATTCTAAATTTCATGGTGTCACATTTTATTTTAAAAAAGTTGTTTTGTAGATATTAATGTTCTACTTGATGTTTTATTAGGGGTAGTTTTTTGTTTTGTTTTTCTGTTGTACTTTGCCCGAGGGTATATAATAATAATGTACACAAAATTTGTAAATCAACCATTTAAAAAAAAAGAGCTGCCAAAAAATGGCTGCTAACTTCACAATTTTGGCTGCTACAAATGGCTGCTAACTTCACATTTTTGGCTGCTGCAAAAAGGCTGCTAACTTCACACCGGTTAGTTAAGCGACCAACAGGGGAGTATTTTCATTGTTCAAGACAGTACATGTTTCATTGGACGAATGGAAAAAAAGTACCTCTCCTTGTGTAACTTTTTACAATTTAGAAGGCATTGGAGGAGAAAGTGAATTATGGTTTAAAATGTGGAATCAGGTACAAGAAACACCAGACATTACTGAGGACTGAAGTTTCGAAAAAAATTGAATTGGGTTTTACGACAATTAGAAAAGCTCTTATTATGTGTGACGCAGCCCATTATATCAGACCTATATTAGGTATAATAATATCTATTTACCTGACCAAAATGTAAACTTTTCTAAAATGGGTTTTTTTTTTTTCATATTTCGTAAACTTGCCACAATAGAACATGAAGAAAAGGGTCAAGGCAAGTAGGTACTGGCCTCGACCCTCCAAAACTGTTATTAGGCTCGTAACGTCATATTTTTCATTTGTAAGGAATTCTAAAATAAACCACCAAAGTGGAAACACGCAGCGTCTTTTATTTTGATTCGTTACATAGGATACTACTTTCACAACCATCATATGCACCACCAGCACTATCGAGGGTTCATTTAGCTGATGAATATCGGCTTTAGCCAATGAGACAGCGTTTTCAGTGATCTTTTCTTTAAATTTTTCATTTTTATTTATTAATTTATTTAATAATCTGACTGAAATCTGCAAAATATTATTAATTCTCGTTTGCATTCAAGTATCTGCGTCAAAAAATATCATAATTTGCCATATTCCCGGCACGTGAACGTGGCCCATTGGTGGAAAGATGTAGTTAGCAAGTTTGTAAGCAATCCACATAGACTTATTTAGAATTTCAGAAATTAGGTTTTCTTCGATAAAAGGTAGGTAAGTGTATATCCTGTTCACAATCCGATGTCTACAGGTGCAGGTAAATTTATCACCTTTCCCTATCAAATAGCATTGAAAGGTGATACATATTTTACCTGTACCAGGTGGACATCGGATTGTGAACGGATAATATATATCCCAAAATTCCAAAAGGTAATAAATTGTCTGGTAATAGATAGATCTGGGGTGCCTTATGGAAATTTGCATTATGTTGAGGCACCTCAGATGACGTCATAAAAGTTATCAGGCAACCTACCTCTCTCAAACAACCTTGGGTATTATGTATTATTTAACGCATCCTCCCCTGTCCTTAAGAAGGCTATCAAAACGTAGGCGTCATAGACGATGGAAATCAGAAAGCTGCCCCCCCTTCTGTGTTGAGCTGGATACGCCAAAAATAACTGCTCTTTTGTCGCGTTTAATAGAAATTATTAGGAAAACGCATTTTTTTGTAACTGAAATATCTACTAAAATGATGATATTTCTAAATTTTTTATGTTGAGATTTTGAGATTGTTCCCAAACTCCATACAGTAAATAATTCTGAGATTTGAAGTCGAAATCTATGAAAAAAAGGCACTCAGAAAATTGAAAAATTTATAAATTTACCCGAAATTGCTTAACGCAATTCTATTTCTGGAACTATAAGTCTAAATGAGCTGAAATTTTCAGGGATTGTAGGTCTCCACTTGAATAAGAATCGCTGACAATTTCAGCTTTCTATCTATAATAGAAAAAAAGTTATGGGTCTTCAAAATCCAAATTCATCTTAGTCTTAGTAGGTAGGTAGTAAAATGACGACTAAAATGATGAAAATTGAAATTTTTTTATGTTAAGATTTTGTGTCTTAGTGATCATTGGGGACCCCTAAACTCCATCATACTATACACTAGATTATTCTGAGATTTGAAGCTGAGAAATGGCCAGAAAGTTTCAGAGATTATAGTCCTTCACTGGGATACGAATCGCTGAAAATTCCAGCTTTCTATCTATAATAGAAAAAAAGTTATGGGTCTTCAAAGTTTTCAAAAATCCAAATCATATAGTAGGTAGATTGAAATTAAAAATTCTATGAATGATCAAAAAATTATGGCCACACATTTCGGTTACCAAATTCAAATAGAATAGGTTTAGACACAAAACGTACAAGGTCGTTGGTATTTAGCTGATAATTATATTCTAAATATTGATAAAGAGGTGACTGGTAATCAGTTGTTAATTAATACAACCAAATAGGTACCTATAAAGTATTGAAAATGCAAATGTAACGTTTTCCTGGTGTCACGTCTTAAAGTTCACTAATAAAAAAAAAAAAAGAATAATTTGCATTTCCTCATAGGGTGCTCCACAAATAGGGTACCTATGCGACAGAAGTTTGCTATTTTTAATGAAACACCCTAATTTTATTACTTCAAGAGATTGTCCTAAAAATCCTACATACTTTTTGTTAAGAATTACAATTGTTTTTGAAATATTTGATATTTTTTCAAAAAATCGCAGTTTGCATGTGTCAACAAACATTTAGGATCCTATGAGATAAATCTTTTGCAGGTTTTTAGTGCATACTATGAAAATCTGATACTTAACGCTCTATAGGGTGTTCGCAATACTGTATACAAAACCAGATATTTCGAACAACCATAGCTCATTTTTTTAAAGAGGAATCATGTCAATTGATTTTTATGTAATTATTATTTTCATAGCAACAATTTTTCTAATTCTAATTGACACATTATTATGATTATTCTGGATTTTAAGGAAGAAATTAGAAAAAAGTTTAAGAAACTCAATAATTATCACAGTTAAGTAGGACATATTTTATAAAAATGAAGCTTATTGCTTGTTAATAAAGATTAAAGGTAAAGATCTCGGTAAAGGCAAAAGCAACTAAATCTGTGTCTGCAGAAATTACAAACCAGTTAGAGCGAATTTCATTGGTTGAAAACAGTCAGAAGCATCCAGAAAACTAGTATGTCTGTTTCTGCAGAAATCCCAAGAAACCAGTCAGAGTGAATTTCATTAGGTCTGTTTCTGCAGAAATCACAAACCACTCAGAATGAATTTAATCGATTGAAACTAGTTTTCTGACTGTTATCAACCAATGAAATTCGTTCTAACTGGTTTGTGATTTTTGCAGAAACAGACCTAGTATCAACCAATGAAATTCACTCTGACTGGTTTGTGATTTCTGCAGAAACAGACCTATTATCGTATCCAGTTACGTGCCTGTCCACATTTCGGAGCAAATCGACGAAAAAGATGACATAAACAAACTCGGCCATAGTGTATTTGTACCACCAGTTTTTTGTACACACCAAAAATCTAACATCTAGTTACATTTTATGTTTTAGAAGGCAACCATATTATTAAGTCAAGACTTGTTTGGTAAATAAAGCTTTTCGCGTTTCTCGTAATTTGGAGCAACCTGTTACATGCGAAAATATAGTGGCATGTTTATAGGTCAATATCGACTAGCCTATTCCAGTCCTACTTATTGGTATTTATCATTTATTATTATTTTGATTCGAGTAGTGTGTGATACCGCGACTGATAAGAAGAATAAGCCGGTAAAATGGAATCCTGAATGTGAATTATCTTAAAAATAAAATACTCCGTTTGAACTAACGCCAAAATGTATTTCGGGCTTTTTCATATCGATAATAAACATTGGCTTGCAGCAGTAGCCAAAAAAAAATATATTAAGGAGGGAAATGGCAACTGTGTATGTCGCAGCGCTCTGGAGTGAAGAGAGAAAACTGGACCGGACCAATAGGAACGGGGCGTTTAGGCCAAGGGGTACGGCAGGCAGCAGACTGACTAGTTAAAAATATTGTTTTCCATTCCATATAATACAGTGACAGTCACCAGTCTCCAGTCACAATATATGAAAACGCACGACGGACAAAGGTAACTTAGCAAGAATCGAATCAATAGGCATGGACGGCTGATGGCATGGCGCCTCGAAAATCAATTCCTCACCAAAGAGAATAATTAGTTCTTGCATAGCACTAACCTTGTATCATACGTTGAGTGGTCGATTGTTTCGGGGTGTTGTTCGAAGACATTTCTGTGTCGAGATTTTCGCACTTTAAAATATAAACATCAGTTAAAATAGCACTTTTATCACTCTCGTACAGTACACAAGCTAGAAACTACTCAAGATGGAGCGTTAGCTACGACCCAGCCAGAGCTAAGCACTGGTGCGCAACCAGAATCGCGTTGAATCGTTGTGGAACAAAAAGCAGCAGGCACAGGCAGCCAGCAGGACTGAACGATACACGCAGAACCGCGATACGGTGTGGCTACGCGCTTTCCTGCCTCCTGCACGACGAAATCTCGAAGTTAATAATGCCTCCTGCGGTGCCCACAATTTCATCAGTACGCGATAGATGTCACTTCGGAGAGCCAAATGTAGCAGGAAAATTTCCGGATTTTCCCTAAAATACTCCTGACAAAATAACGCGTACTTAATTTAAACTTTACTTAACGGCTAAAAAGTAGACTAATAAGCAACCCTTCGAAAAGTATATAATTAATAGGTACCTATATACTTTCTTCAGGAAAGCATGTCTTTTCTGACCTAAGCCACAAAAGTAATAGAACCAATCAAATATCCTTTGACATTGGTGTAATATACTCCAAAATGTAATATAAGAACTCTGATATTATAGATAAAACTCTTATTCGCCACAGTAAAATAATAATATATTTATTAATTCGACCGCTCTCTTGCTTGCTGTGTATTTACTTATTTAGGTGACCAGCTGAAGTACTATATGTAACGGATAGAGATCGTTATTTTTTATTTTTTTTTACTACATCAATTAGGTAACATTCTAAAACAACTCTTTTTTAGATCTCGTTTTCATCTTCCTCTTTGCCTAAATTATCCGTCGATTTTAATCTGATTATCAAAAGGAATGTGAGCTGGTAGCTCCCTACATTAGAACGTGACGTTACACCTGTTTTTGCCATATACTTCACCCCCTCGCTCTTCATACGGAAAGTGTCAGATAAAAATCGACGCACAATATGTTAATCAAAATGAAATGTGTAATATTTTTCACCATAAAGGACTCTGCACACCTCTTATGGGATTTGGGACTTCCGTCAAATTTAACCAAATTCTAGTACTTATCAGTGGCGCAATTAGGGGGGGGGGCTTAGCCCCCCCAAGCTCAACATTAGCCCCCCCAAACCCGATGGTCACAAACATGATGGTAATGACACAAATTAGCCATCCGTCCTCCCAAACCCGAGCGAGCAAATCTGAGTCGCTTTCCAGTGACGCACTTTAAACACTCCTGAGCTGCTCTAGAGCGCCCTGGACTGTTTATAGGCGTTCCAGTGCATTAAAGTTTCGTGCAACTGAACTGTTTGTTTTTCTTCTCCCCTGCCCTCTCAAGCACCGGCTATTTAATGGGGGCATCAAAAACACGAAGCTTAAAGTAGTATGCGTTCCAGTGACACAACCAGTGTTGCCCTTTACTGGGTAATTTCCCAAAAACCGGGTATTTTCGACTAGTGTTCGGGTAAAATATTGATGTGGGTAAAACCGGGGAATCCAGCCCTATTCTTTTTTTTTTTTCAACAATTTCAACTAATACCTATTTTCCACATTGAAATTGAAAATGCAACTAGTTTTATTTTACATGATTTTAGAAAAAAAAAAACGAATACATTCAGTGTTCACACTGACAAATGGAAATCGCTATGAGTGCCTATCAACCACTGATCTCAAAAATAAATGGATAAACAATCGTACGGCTTGATTGGCTAAACTTGTGCGAAAATTTGGGTTCAATATTCTACGAACAGTTGTGCAACGGAACAGCCTAAGGCCTGCGCAGTGTCTTATGTCGAACAACGAACAACTGTTCTAAATTTTGAAATATCCTTCATTTTCATTGGCTATATTTTGCGCACGCACAGCTCATGTATTTACTGCGCATGCTCACAGCTGTCTTAGTTGTTTACATAAGGTCTGTTTCTGCAGAAATCACAAACCAGTCAAAGCGAATTCGATTGGTTGAAAACAGTCAGAAAACTATTTTCAACCAATGAAATTCACTCTGAATTGTTTGTGATTTCTGCAGAAACAGACCTATTATAAACTCGTAAATTAGCAGTATTACAAGCGTTCTTTGTTTATCCATTTATTTTTGAGATCAGTGCTATCAGCGCGTAATTGCCGCCATATTGGTTTTCAACCATTGCTGACGTCATAACTAAGTCGTCTGCTGTTTAAACAGCCTACGTCAAGGCGAGAAACGCCATGCTGCTTACGTCACAACTGGTTGTTTGGCATGATGGGGGATTTGTTACACACAGGCCTTCTTATGAGGATATGCTATCCTGTAGTAGTAGTAGTGTGTATCATCCTTGCCCTTACCTAGCTTAATGATTTGAAGATTTTGTTTTCAAGGTTCGGGTAAAATTGGGTATTTTATGAGATTGGAAAGGGTAATGAGAATAGGCTCGTTCAGTGAGGTTTCATTAACCACGTTTTTTGATATTTTTATAGAGTATATTACTCACATATAGCACACAAAAAAAATTCCAGCGCAATAAACCTGTCTCGCATGATTAAAAAAAGAGAGCTTAATTGTAATAAATACAAATTAGAAAGCAATAGAAGATGACATGCGCGCGCAACTCGTAGGCTGCAGTGTAGCCGAATTGTATTGTTGCAGAACAAAATGTAGACAATACAAATCGAACATTATGACATTAAAGAAGTGATATAGGTAGTGTCAAGGGTTTTACAACGCCTTAAATCAGACAAAAGAAGAGCTTTAAAGTGGATGACCATCGTTTGCACTTTGATTTTGATAAATGTTTCATCCGGCAACATCGCTCAATGAAATTGCAAATGAATATGTCAAGTATAACCTTAAACGAAATTGCGGTGAGTTCAAGTAATATGTAAAGTATTAGTTTGCTCTTTGTCAAATTACACGTTACAAAGAAAGAAGGAACGATTCTTTCTGAACTGGCTCCTGAATAAGAATATGACGCAAGCCTGTCACAAACTTGCTTCTCATTGGACGCTCACCTGCAGCCTACAAGCGACGCGCGCAGTCCAGGTAATAGGAGATCGGTCTATTGGATAAATATTTAAAAAGTTATGCGGCTTTGAATAATAAAACATTATGCCTCAGAAATTCATCGCTTAGAGTTGGTATGACGTCATCTTTCGAGTCAAGACGGGCTAAAGGCCGTCACACGACCAACGTGAGAGATGCAGTGACGTCACCACGTGTTTCAAAACTTCCAAATTTGGAGCTTTTTGATAATTTATTTAAATATGAACAAGGGCTCGGAAAATTATGAAATTTTGCACAACTGCTAAACTCAATACGCTCTTTTAAAATATGTAATAAAAAAAATATGCTTTCGTCTACTGGTCCGTGTCTGTTTGAGCACTTACGAGGAATTTAATTTAACAGAACTTGTTCAGATTTTAAGTTGTTTTTAGTACCGATTTAAGTAGTTTAAGAAGTTCTAAACTCAATATACAGGGTGTCCCAGCCGAGAGTGACCCATTTTAAAAGCTTATAACTCTTAAACCAGGTGTGCTGGGTACCTGCGGTTTGTGCCATTCGATTTCTCTTGGCCTAAAGTTTTTTTCAGTAGGTTGCAAATTGCAAACAAAAAACCTTGAACATGAATCTTTTTTTTCACGTTGTGATATACAAGATGTTCCATTAAAAATAGTGGAGAATTTCGATGTTGAAAAACGGATTTTTTTTCACTTGCCCTGTATAAGTTTCAAAAAAATTTGCAACCTACTAGAAAAAACTTCAGGCCAAGAGAAATCGAATGGCACAAACCGCAGGTAGCTAGCACACCTGGTTTGAAAGTTACAAGTATTCAAAATGGGTCACTCTCGGCTGAGACACCCTGTATTTTTACTTACATATGTACAGCGTAGGTATAGCTGGTGAGCTCGTTTTACAATAGGAAAAAACGGGTGTCCCTCTTTTTATTGTCATGACTGTATGTATGTACATAAAAATGGCTACGTTCACCAGAACCAAAACGGATTGTAAATAGTTTACAAATACCAACAGAATACGTTGGATAAACTCTTGGTTCTGCTGAACGATTCAACTTTTCAATGATAGAACGTCACCCTCTGAATGTCATGTCACCACACAAAGCACAAAAAAAGTGTTGAAAATTATAAACACTCTCAAATTATGCTTGCAAAAATGGCGACCGTTTGCAAAACATGTTTGGTTTCAACACAAATTCAACGTAGCGTTCAGCAGAACAATCCCAAAGTGTTAACCAACGTTTTTATTTGGTGAACGCGGCCGTCTTTTATAACTTTGTTTTTTTTCTCAACTAAGAACGTAGATTATATCGAAGAACAAAATTTATAGCAGAGTATTAGGCAATTCAAACCACGTGACTTTCAAGATGGCGTGGCGGCCACACATGGGCCAAAAAACACAAAAAAAATATCTAGATTCTGCCCGATTTATTAGTTTAGGTACCTTGTCAACAAATATTTTATTATATAATCCAAATCAAAGTTGCAAGCAAAACTCTAAGCAAAATAATTTGAAATACGCATAAAACCACATTCAAAACAAACCTGCTTGGCCGCCACGCCATATTGAATTTTCCTATCTGACAGATGGATTGAATTGCCTAATTTCCGTCAAATTCAGGCATTTGTGAAATACGTACTGTATTTAGTAAGTTTTGAAAAACATCATATACTGTCACGAAATCGACTAATAGAGACCCGGGGCTCAAGCCCCCCCAAAACCAACAAGCTAGTTGCGCCCCTGGTACTTATTATATAAATTTGACCTTTCTAATCAATAGGGGAGGGTGGGCCACCATGAGACGCGTTTACCATGAGACAGTCGCCATTATTTATTAATAACGTGGGCTATTTGTCTCCATTATTTCACAGAGTACATCAAATATTAAACATGTTAGTCTTATTTTTGTTGCCAGAGAAGCTGTACGTGCGCCCTCCAATTTTTTGCCGGTTTCGATTTGTTTTCGCCATAGTGAAATTTCTTTTTTCTCCAAACGTCAGAAAAACGTCACTTTGTTAACCCCTGTCAAGATGTCAGAAATTTGATTTCTATGCTGCTAGGCAAATCCAGCGGGTTAACACCTGTCGAGGTGGTAGAAATTTAATTTCTATGCTGCTTGGCAACCCCAGCGATAGCAAAAGTACTTTTAGTGCCGCTGGAGCGGCAGTAGAAGTACTTTTAGTGCCGCTCGTACTTTTACTGCC